ACCCGCTCCAGCTCATCCAGCCTCAGTTTGAGACACCGCTGCCAGCTCTTCAGCCTGCGGTAAGTGGATGTGCATCGCAGAGCCTGCTGCAGAGCCTGCGCCGGCCCTTCCTTCCCAGCTGGGCCCTCACCAAGGACCCTCCCGGGAGCCGTCTGTGGCTCTCTTTGGGTCAGGGTGTGCTGCTACCGTCCATGCTCACACTCCACCTGTTAGTGTGCTACAGGCACTTCCATGTGGTTGGTCCAAGCCAAAGGAGCATGGCATGGACTTTCTAGCTGTTCATCGTTAACATTTCCCACCTTGTGTGGCTGGAGGCCACATAGGAGAATTTCTGGGTAAAAAGGAGAAGCTTAGTGCTGCCTTTCTAGACAAATAACACTTCGATTCGTAGCACAGGGCTAACAGCCCTGGGGACAGTGGTGTGTAGATGGGTTAGTGTTCCGGTACAACATGAACTCAGCTTGCCCTCAGAACTGCCCTGTACCATGACATTCTGGAATATTATGAGCCAGTTTGCTTCATCTTGGTGTCTTGAAACTGACCATGGTAGGAATATTTACATCATAGAAACAGGTGAATTCTACAGATCAGCCCTTTTAGTTTGGTTATATTTTGAGAGCTAGCAGTTAAACAGTTACCAGCACACCACTGGTTCATACCTGTGAATTCTAACTCACAAGTTTAGCACTTTTATACTATTGTATTTCTGCTTCTCCAAATCATTTCTAGTCTTCAAGAATTCATGATTAACTAAGAGACTGCTTGTACAATCACATGTTCAATATAGACATACCCAAGCTTTGTGTCACTGTGTGAGTTAATAGGCATCGGTATGTCAGCTCAGTCAGGTTAGTGGTATAGTTAGAGCCTATTCTCCCTGGTTGCTTACAACAGGCTAGTAGTCTTGCCCTGAGGGTCTAAAGGGAAGGGCAGGAGGAGGTGATGGGAGTCTGGGGCTCACCTTACGGGGAGGGATGAGTTGGCCTCTCATTTCCCTTATGTTTCATCTCTGTGCATTGTGGCTTTGATAAGCTCTTCCATGAAAGGCTTTCTCCTTTTAGGTTTTCCCTCCTAGTTTCAGGGAATTGCCACCTCCTCCTCTGGAGCTGTTTGACTTGGATGAGACGTTCTCCTCGGAGAAGGCACGGCTCGCTCAGATTACCAACAAGTGTAAGTTGGATCAATTTTTAAATTTTGTTTTCCTTTTATTTAACTTAGTCTAAACTTCTAAAGTTTGCTATGAGGAAGAGTTTAGAGAGCTTTGTTTAGGGAGAATAAATACATTATACAAAATACCATATTTCATATAAATGATATTGGCGATTTTTTGTTTGTTTGAAGCTAGTTATCTAGAATATCTAGTGAATAAGAACCTGGCACTAGGGGCCAGCACGTGGCATGGTGGTTAGGCAGCTGGATTCCCACATGGCTGACCATGGTTTGAGCAAATTAAAGTAATAATAATAAATAAAATAAACAAATTTTTAAAAAATCCAAAAAGTGAGGTATCTGTTACATAAGGAAGGTGAGAAAATATGCAAGATTGAATGAGTACTAAAAGCCAAAGGGGGGACCAGCAGATGGTGTAATGTGTACGTTGCTGAATTCCCACATGGCTGACCACAGTTCAAGTCCCTGACTGGTGGCTTCAAACTCACCCTAGGCACATGTTCGTGTGTGTCCAAAATCCTGAGAGAAGAGTGGAAGAGGGATTGTGGCATGTCCATCTCCCCTGGGAGGTTGATTTCTCACTTTCCCTCTTTCTGTCTCTCCTCTCCAGTGAGCCCACATGCCTTATGGAAAAAACTTAAAAGAAAAAAAAGAACCTGATGTTAAGAAGAAAACCAGAGGTGTCAGAGCTTTGATCCCTTAGGTGCTTAGTTACAACTTACTGAGCAACCGTAGGATGAATGCTGACCCTCAGATATGCCACCTAGTAAATCGGGCAGTTTAATAAAATGGAGTGAGAGACAAAAGAATCATGGAGACTTCAACTTTGACAGGGTCCTAGAGAGAGCCAAGTGTTCCCACCTTGACATATGAACAAGGAAGTAAAGCCCCAGGCCGTATAGAGACTGCATAGCTCCATGGGAGGTGGTCTTCCTGACTCGCAAGGCCTGCAGCACAGATAGGGTGTGCACATATATGCTCAAAGGCAAATTAAGAGATTTTTGCTATAGGGTACATGTGCTTGCCAGAGAGACAGAAAGTGAGAAATCATTCCCCAGAGGGGATGGCCACACCACAATCCTTTCTCCTCCACTCTCGTTTTAGGATTTTGGGTATGTACTCATGTTCCTGGCGTGAGGGTAAGCCATTAGGTCTGAGACTTGAACCACGGTCAACTATGGGAGTCTGGCAATGTAACCATTACACCATTTGCTGGTCCTGTGTCACGTTCATTCAGTAAGATAATATGCAGTCAAAAAAGAAGTTTACAAAGGCCAGAGAATGACACTGACAGAATTTAAGAGAGAATTTTAAATGAAGAAAACAAGATATAAAACTAAATACACAGTAGGGTCCCAATTATATGAATATCTGTATATGTCCAAAGACCAGAAGGGAGTTTGCAAAACTGGAAACAGCTCACTGTAAATAAAACACTTCTACTCTATCTATATGCTGTTCCAGGTAGTGGTAGGTGTTGGCCAATCAGAGATGAGCAAGACAGAGAAATTAGTGCAGTGGGAATAATAAACCCTGAAAGAGGCTTTGGCCGAGTTCCACTTCTACCTATTTGTCCTATAGAAATCCTTATAGATTTGCAAAACAAAGCAAGAAAAGGTAGAGCTATGTAGATATGAACTGTAACGTTCAAAAAATTGGAAACAATGTTGGGGCTAGCAGGTGGCATGGTAGTTAAGGCACTGGATTTCCACATGACTGACTGCAGTTTGAATCCTGGACCTGGTAGCTAGAAAATCACATTGGACATGTGTGTGTGCATGCCCAAAATCCTGAGAGGAGAATAGAGGAGAAGGGATATGGCATGGCCATCTCCCATGGAGGAGGTGGTTTATCACTTTAACTCTCTGTCTCTCTCCACATCCTGTGGCAAAAACCTAGAAAAAAAAATTGAAGGGGCCAGCAGGCAGTGTGGTGATTAAGGCGCTGGACACTCCCACATGGTCAATCACAGTTCAAGTCCCAGACTCGGTGGCTTGCTTTCTCACTTCCCCTCTCCCTCTGTGTCTCTCTCTGGTCAAATTAAAATAAATGAATGAATAAATAAAATTAAATAAATAGTTCTTAAAGAAAAAAATGGAAATAATCTTAATGGCTCATCCATTAATAGGACTGGTTAAAAAGATTATGAAATAGCCTGGGGCCAGCAAGTGGCTTGGTAGTTAAGGGCACTGGACTCCCACATGGCTGACTGTGGTTTAAGCCCTGGACCTGGTGGCTTGCTTTCTCACTTTCTCTCTCTCTCTCTCTCTGTCCCTCTCTGGTCAAATTAAAATAAATGAAGTTAAATAAAATAATTTTTTAAAAAACATTATGAAGTAGGGGTTGGCAAGTGACATGGTGGTTAAGGGCACTGGACTCCCCACCTGGTCAACTGGGGTTCAACTTCTGGGCCTGGAGGTTTCCTTTCTCACTTCCTCTCTCCCTCCCTCCCTCTTTTTCTGTGATCAAATTAAAATAAATAGATAGATAAATAAAGTTAAAATAATTCTTTTAAAAAAGATTATGAAATAAAGTAGATATTACACATTTGTTAAAAAAATGTAAAGCATAAGCTTTGATATTGAATATCAGTAATACATCGTTAAGTGATGAAGACAACTTAGACTATTATAGCTTGAGATCCTTTTTGTGTGAAAACTTGTATATATACACAGGGGCAGACATAGAAATACTCTAGGTAGTATTTGCGGGGACAGTGCAGGATGAGAGATTATTGCAACTGTATGTTTAAATATGTTAATAAAAAGGTATACATATCTATAATAACTTTTAGAAATGCAAATCATAAGGGAATAAAGAAGGAAATTTTAGTATAATGTGAGAAGGGCAGTAATGGCTACCTGTGTTAGATATAGGGCTACTAGATATAGGTTATTAGCTTCGTGGAGGTATGTTGGTAGATTTTGGTGACTTTTTTTCCTTTGGTTTTACTATCATAAATGGTATTTTAAAATACCCGTATGGCCTTCTTTTTTGCATTCAGAGAACAGTAATTAGATTTCCTACTAGTTGCCCCTGTTCTTGGTAATACAGGAGTGCCAGATCTGGGGAACACAAAAGCCAGTAGTCCAGCTTTATTCTGACTAGGAGTGTTCCACTTTTGCCCTAATTTATAAAAGTGGCTCATTATTGATCTCTAGAGTATCACTGTTGATGTCTTGCAGTCACATTACCCTAGGAAGAGGTGAGTGATCTTAAGAGATGTAGAAACCAATAAGGGATACCTGAAATACACAAAGTCTGTACTTTGGGGAGGGCAGAAGGTAAGGGTTAATCTAATGACCCCTACTGTGTTTAGGTACTGAAGAAGACCTGGAATTCTATGTTAGGAAATGTGGCGACATTCTTGGCGTAACCAGTAAACTACCAAAGGACCAACAAGATGCCAAACATATCCTTGAGCACATCTTCTTCCAAGTGGTGGAGTTCAAGAAGTTGAACCAGGTATGAAGCCCAGAAGGCCCACTGAAGTAGGAGCCGCTTCAGTGGTGGTATAAACTATGTTTCTTGTGTGTTATGTATGGCATTCATTTAGTCTGCAAATATTAATGTCTACCAGGTCAACAAAATAGACAATAATCCTTTCACAAATGGAACTTATATTCTAGCTGGAAGACAGTAAACGGTAGACATAAGCAAACCCTTAGCATGCTAGATGATGCTAAGTGTTGTGGTATAAAAGAAGAGCAGGACCTTGGGAACCAGCAGTTAGTGTAATGGCTATGTCGCTGGACTCCCACGTAGTCGACCGCGGTTCGCGTCCTGGACCCGGTGGCTAAAAACTCACGTTGGGCGCATGTGCGTGCGTGCCCAAGATCCCGAGAGGAGAATGGAGGAGAAGGGATTGCGGTGTGACCATCCCCCCTGGGGGGTGATTTCTCACTTTCTGTCTCTCTGTCTCTCTCTGTCTGTCTGGCGAGCGCACACACCCTATAGCAAAAAAACTCTCA